ACAGACAGACAGACAGACAGACAGACGGACGGACGGACGGACGGACGGACGGACGGACGGACGGACGGACGGACAGACGGAATCTCACAAAACAAGATGGGTGTTGAGAAATAGAACCCAGCATTTACAAAGGGCACATGTCGATGGCCATCAACAGAGAGGTTTTTTTTTAGTTCCATCTTAATAAGACGTTTTTCGACACTTGCGACACAAATAGGGCATATAAGTATCGAAGATTAGAGGTGCTACTAAAGACTAACATGCCAAGAAAAGGAGGAGGTGAGATAGAATACGATATAATAATATTATATATAAATATTTGATGGCACCGAAGGAGCAAACCACACCAGAGCACCAGCCAGCCGCCCATGATTAGATTATACAGTGCAGCTTTAATAAACAAATATGATGTAAGACGTTTCTAAAACATACAGAGAGCAGCTAGGGAGGTCATTACATTACAATAAATTATTTTCGTTTCCTCGTAGTTTTCGCTCGCGTTTTGTTGACACAATGTTTTATCGATCGGCCAACCGATATCGAGAAAACAGACCACGGGTCAATGAATCAATACAAGGTATTTTCGTCAGTACCACAGTCAATCTTGAAGTAACCCTCTCCTGTCCCCTTTCCCCTTCCCCTCTTTTTTCCATCGTGCGTGGTTGGCTAGCGCTCTGGTGTGGTTTGCTCTTTCTTTCCTATCCATCATCCATCGTCCTTATCTGTACTTCTTTTTTGTGTTTGTAACTCTTTTGTAACACCTCTAATCTTCGGCACTTATAGACCTAATTGTGTTGCAAGTGCCGTAAAACTTTTATAAAAAAGCAACAGGGAGCGGAGAAATGAACGGAGAACCATTCAGGCCGATGGCTGTTTTAATCTGGCACTTTATGATGATGTTTTTTCACCCTCCACTATCAAGCGCAAACACAGGCTTTGATTTTACATTCTGGATCCCTTTTTTAAAAAAAATCTAAGTTTTTTTATCGCCCTCCTCGAGGGGGGGGGGGGGGGGTTCGACTCTGTCTAGCCTGTAAGAGTCATCTTTGACTGAGAGGAGGACAACATCCTAACTGAAAAACCGAGATACTGGATAATAATAAACAGCGTTTGTATAGCGCATGTCCTCACTCGAAAGAAAGCTCTATGCGCTTTACATTATATTATTACTCCAGCAGACCATAAAACACTCAGAAACATTCTCAACTTCCCCGGAAGCATGCAGTGCAAGCAGCTAGTTAGGCGCTCAAACACTAACTAACTGACAAGATCTTTCACTGTCTGTGGGTGAAGTGGGGAAAATAAGTGTAAAGTGCCTTTCCCGAGGCGACCAAGGACCCAACGTCGAGCCCGAGGCTCGAACCCCCGAACCCGCAACCTCACGATTACGAGTCCGGTAGCCAAACCACTAAGCCAACAACGCCACAAGATAAGAAGTTTCTTCACACAGGAATTGAACTCAGGTCTTCTGAACTCAGGTCTTCTACGTGCGACGGGGAAGCGCCTAACTGCTTCATCTCAGACGCCGGTCATTCTAGCTCGCCCCCCCCTCCCTCCCTCATCATCTCATCTATCGATCCCTCAACATCACCCATCCACATTCCGTTTACCGAGAGCTCTCAATATCGCACTGTGTCAATGATCTCGTTTTTCTTCTGAACTTCGATCGCGTCAATCGAACCTGCCTCTCGTTCCAGCGAGCCTCGTTCTTTCCCGCCTTTTCAGCCAGATGGAAATGGCTCTATTGAAATAATGGATAATTTCCTAGGGTGATAGGATAGCTTCCGCTGACGGAAACCGTAAAATAAATACCCCGGTCCTTGTTTGAGGAGTCGACGGAGTGGAAGAGAGGGAAGAATGAGATAGACATAGGTAAAAAGGAGATGGAGAGGGAGTGAGAGAGAGCGATGGAATGAGAGAGATAGATAGAGAAAAAAAGAGAGAGAGGGAGACAGAGAGAGAGAGAGAGAGAGAGA